TACACCCACGTGCCACGCAAACGTAAACGCAGCAACGAATCCGTGGCTCCTTTAAAGCCGACCTGTCGCTGCGTACGTGCCTCCCAACGGCGATTACGTTCCCATCCCTGGACCAGAACCGCTGCGAATTCGTCCGGAGCAAACAGGCAGCGGAATCGAGGCTCGCTCGCCCTGGCCACTGGTTCGTGATCGTTCATTGTCGTCAGCCGTGACTGATCAGCGCGTGACTAACCCGGCTTCGAGGCGCGCTGAAAAATCCGCGATCCTCGCCGGGGATCGACGGGGACGTTGCGCGATCATCGTGGTACACGCGCGTGCAATCGCGACTCAGCCTCGGAACGTCGCGACACGCGCGTGCAGACGCACGGTCACGGGAATGGATCGCGACGCGAATTGGCAGGAGCGTGGAGACCGGAACGAATGGAGCGAGTCGCGTCTGCGAGCGCGCCCGATCGCGAGCGTCGCGTCGCGAGGCTAACGAGCCACGCTTTAATAGGCAAAGTTCCGTTTCGAGTCGTAAAATCGCGACTGCCGGTGACTTTATCGATGCAGAGGCGGGAACGAAGGTAGAAGCGAAAAAGCGAAGGAAGACAGCGGACCGTGCGGACGGGAGCGAGACGAGGAGGAGCGGAAGTTGGAGAGAGACGACGGGCTCGCCGGATACGAGAGCCAGGCCAGCAATATCGAGATGAGTTATTGTTCGCGGAGCACAATACGCTCAAATATGGAACGTAGCCGAGAAATTGATAGAAAAAATCCGTACGGCTCTACCAAAGGGTTTATTAATTCCTGTCGACGTCTCTGCAAATACGTAGCACCGAAATAGTCCGCGATGAAAAAAGCGCGCGTGTTCGTGCGAGGGGGCTAACGCACAGGTGTTCGATAGGCTTGGTAGCCGGAGAGAACCGGGATGCAAAGCCGTGGCAATTTTACATAGGGGGAGGGCAAACAGTAGGCAAGGGGGACCATTCGCTGGAATTGCATTAGGCGGACGCGCTCGCGCGATACTAAACAATGTATCGCCATTAAATAGACTTAAATCGTGGGACGCGGGCCTCCCCGTCTTTGGCCGATCGATACAAGAGAATTCTCTGGCGGCCACCGTTCGTAGGGTGGATGACAGAATGAGAGAGAGAGAGAGCAAGAGAGAGAGGGTGGGCGAAAAGGAGAAAGAAGAAGGGAGAAATAGAGGGGTGAGAGGCAACCACGAGAAAACGCAGCGACAAAGGGAAATGGAGATGGAAAGAGTGGCAGTAGGGTGAGCGGGATCGAGGTTGGGGGACACGGTCCCTCGGTCCAAACCGAGCGGCACGCTTCCACCTCGCTTTCGTGCCTCGACGACGTTTGCCTCGCCGGAGAAAAACGCCGGGGACGAATGACTCCTCGTAAATCGATTACGTGGACGGAAAACGCCATGGTTTTCGGTCTCCGAACTACCCCTTCGCGTTCACCTTCCCCCTCGTTCACCGTGAAAACCGAGTTTTATCGTTATCGTTGTTCCATCGTCGGATTATTACGATTTCGCTCTCATCCACGCGGGGAACAGATCCGCGACCACCCGTCCAGTCACGCGTTCCCTTTCGAAACGCGCTTCCGATTCCGCTCCATTCCGCTCGAAACATCGCCCGTCTTCCTTCTCCGAAGCGATAACGAACGCGCGGTGAAGGTACGCAAGGTGGTTTCGTCGTCGTGCTTCGTAAACCTGTTTCTGGACGTAGGCGACCGAGCGGAAGTGAGAATTCGTCATCGCGCGTCTCTTCCATTCGATGAATTCTTCGAGGACAACGTTTCTCCCCTGTTCAGGTCGAGACGAGCCGAGCGTTTTCCTTTTGTCTCCGCTTCCGGTGCGTTTCTTTCTCTCCGGCGAGGGAATTCTCGTTCGTTTTATGGGAACGCGATAATCTTGGACCCCTCTCGCGGGATTTCCGTAGCAGCGCGCACAGCCTTACGACGATTCGGAAGGCGAGAAAAACTCGCGAGCTCTTCTCGTCCCTGGATCGTTCCGCAGCTCGAGAGACGCTCCATTAAGCTTCTTCCAGGATTTTTTGCCACGAAGAAAGACGCGGAACCGAGATTCGCTGCGCGGCAGCGATTCCATCTGCTCGCCCCTCTCTCTCACTCTCTCTCTCTCTCTCTCTCTCTCTCTCTCTCTCTCACACCTTGCCTTTCCATACTATCCCCGTCTCCTTCTTCGCCATCGTTTCGCAAAAACGTGCTCTTACGCCGGCTAAGGATTCATTGTTGCCTATTTTCCGGACGCGTAATTCGCCGTATCGCGCCTTCCTCGTCCACCGGGCTGCTCTTTCGATCGATCGATCTCCGGGGACCAACAGTCGAAACGCTTAGTGGACGCGGCGGCGGTCGAGTAGCGTTCAAACATCGGGATCGTCGCCGGAATAAGAATATCGATCCTCGGATTCGCTGGAAGCCGCGTAACCTCGATTCCAGCCAACGCTACGTGTCTACGCGTCTACGTGGTCTACGTGTCGCGACCCGGACGAAATATTCTTCCGTCTCGCCACCGGGGACCACCTTATTACTCATCGCTTTCTCCGTTCTCTCCGACACTCGGGTCCATTCTCTCGTCCTCCTGCCGGAAGCCGGCAACGTCCTGAAAGGATGAACAACGACGACCATGAGCGTCGCGACTGATTCTCTTAGCCCGTTCACCCGAGGATCCGCGCGCGCTTTCTTCCATTTCGTCGCCGCGTCGTGTCCCGTGGCGCCGAGTCGCCGCGCGTCGTATTTAAAAGAAAAATCCGTCGACTCTCGTTTCGAGGTTCACTCGTGCTCGTCGCTGTCCTCCGAGACGCGGTTTCGAAATTTCGGACAGCCACGCTGCTCTTCCCGTGGCTTTCGAAACGCGAAAGAATTCGGTGAAACCGACGAGGCTGGTCAGCCGGAGGGGACCCGAGGGGGCCCGAGGGGAAGGAGGTGGATTACGTTTACGCGGTCCGACTCTTTTATTACGCCGGTTGCCGCGATTCGCGTACCTTTCATCGATCCAGCCACTATTCGAGTGTTTGCCGTGCCCTCGAGTCGGCTGCCATCCGTTTTACTATTTGGATATTGCTGTCGTTATCCGAATAGAGGACGGTCCATCCGCTTGGCAGCCGCGTCGCGACCACCTTTTTCCAGGCGGCTCTCGCGCGGATATAGCTCGGCGAAAAACCGCGTAAAAGCAACGGTAGAAGTGGACGAGATAAAAGGTGGCGGAAACGCGGAAGACGCGGCCCGATGAGGGAAAAAGAAAACGGTGGCGATGATGGTGCACAACTTCGTTTTTAAGTAATTGCCGACCCTTTCGAGAGCTTTCATCGGGACGAAACGAAAAGCGCGAGCGAGCCTTCCTTCCCTGCGAGCATTTCTCCAGTCTCGATTAAGCGATTAAACGAACCCCCTCCGGGCTGCTCCCGTATTTAATTTACCGCCATTCTCCGCCTACTACTCTGGAATTTCTTCCATTCTTTTCCCTCCGCCCCGATCGCGCCACCTGTCCTTTACCCTTTTTATCTCTCGCTCTTTGTCCCTCTTTGTGTCTCTTCCCTACCACCCCCCGGCCCAGCCACCGCCACCCTTTATCCCGTCATCGGTCTCTTATTGTTCGCTACGCGTCGTCAACCTCTGGCGGAAATCGAGCCACGACGAAAGGCGAATCGATTATGCCCCGTCGTTCGAAAGAAATTTCGACCTGTCTGCGTCTCGGCCTGGTCCGGACGCCGGAGCAAAGGCGGACCATCTGCCAAAGGAGAGGAGCCACCGCGACGCTGCATCGACGTTTATCGGTGACTCGGAACGGTCTCGATTCGGTGACACTTGACAGCTCGTTAGCTCCTTTCCCGGACAGCAGAAACCGTGGTCACGCTCGTCTATTCCGGCTGTCGAGTCGTTGCACGGGTGCACCAATTTTCGCGCACAATTTTCCGCGTGAATCTGTCTCGGCCGAATTTACTCCGATGCCGCTATCATCCCTTCCTCTGCCTCCTCTCGTCCCGTGTTCCGTGTCCTATGCTTGTACATTCTGGCCATTCGCCAGAATTAATTCCTGTTCCTCAGACGATCCGACTACGAGCCATCTCTGACCGGTTTTTGCTGTCCCGTTCGCCGCGGAGATATTTAAAAACGTCTCGGCGCTCTTCCTTTTAGCTGTTCTACGTGGCAAAAATCACTTTCCCTCCATCTCGATAGAATCGCTTCCAACCGAACAAGAGGAACGCACACGTATGTACGTATGGGTACGTAAGTACGTATCGTCGCGCGAGAGAAAATACCGGTCGATATCTAATATCTATTCCCATGTGTGTTTCTTTTCAAGCGGAATGTACTCCTACGCGGCCGATAGTAATAGAAGACGAAGAAAACGGAGGAGAAACAGAAGCAGGAGCTGCGGCAGAGGGGAGAGGCTGGACAGTGATTTCGTCCATCTCGACAGACGCCGGAGAAAACGGCAGGTGTTCGTTGCGGAGCAGCTGCAATCACGACCACCATCTGCCGCAGTAATGCACGCCTCTTCCAAGTCTTCCAGTCTTGGAGAAGCGAGACTCGCTGCCCGAGGCATCCATCCTCAATTAGACGCCACCTGAAACACGTGCCCCTCTCGAATCCGTGGATTTCGATGGCTTCTTTCTTCTCCACCCTTATCTCTTTCTTTTTCTCCCTGCTTCTCTTCTTCGAATCCTTTTCTCTTTACCGGTTCTCTCCGCTTCCTATCCTCGCGTTCCAAGGTTTCCTTCCTTTTTTTCCACACCGCGCGTCATTATCCTTTGCTTCCTGGTACCGTGTCATCGATCACCGATCACCGTTTTTCGCGACAGTTGGCAAGCACGAGTCTTTGCGTAAGCGTAAAAACGCTTTTGACACGTGCTGTCGCAGAAAATGCGAATCCGAACAAGAGATCCGGGATATCGCGTTACGGCTCGACTTCGTTCGAAAGTGTAGCTGCCGAAATAAAGTTGACAATTCCCTGAAATTAATTCGCATTTGTACAATTTTTACCGGCATTTATTGGGATTAACGCTAAGAGAGAGTTACATGACACGACACGACACGGAAATACAGTTTGAATTTAACTAAAATAAAACCATGTCGTATTTCGTTTACCAGTTCGATGGTAAGCGTTATGCTCGAGCGACGCCAATTCGACCATGCGTGAGATAGCTTTCTACTTTGCCGACTTTACCGATGATGACTCGATAGAGGAATACGTGGCGCCATCCTATCATCGACCTCTCGAACTCGTCTCGCAATCCCGTTGATCTTATCTTCTTACGCAATGTATAAAATAATCAAACGTTCATCGATATTATCGCAAGATCGCGTATACTGATATCAGAGAGAAACTAAGATAGAGTTTTACGTGTTATTGATTTCCTCAGAGGCGATATAACAAATGCGATTTCTCTACGTTGTCGGACTAGTAGGAATCACTTGCTCGCGTTCCATTTCTTGCTTCAATTTATACTTTTGTATCTTCCCGCTGGCCGTCTTTGGATATTCCGTTACGTATTCCACGTAACGCGGAATCTTAAAGTGTGCCATACGACTCTTACAATACTCCTTCAATTCTTCCTTGCCGAGAGTCGCGTCGCTTCGAAGGCGCACGCATGCACACACCTCTTCCCCGTACACCTCGTCATAGGCGCCGATAACTTGCGCCTCAACCACCAGGGGGTGCGTCATCAGCACATCCTCGATCTCCTAGAACACGATTTATCGAATAAGTAAAATCAAATGCAACAACTAGTCTGTCGTCGTACTTTTGGAAAAATGTTCTCGCCTCCCCGAATTAGCATGTCTTTCAGTCTACCGACTATTTGCCCGTATCCGTCAGGTCTTAAGACGAACAGATCACCTGTCTTGAACCAGCCATCTTTGCTAAAAGCCTTTCTAGTCGCCTCTTCGTCGTTCCAATATTTCTGCATAATGGAATATCCTCGAACCCACAGTTCACCGGTTGTGCCAAACGGTACAACCTTGCCACTCTCATCGGCAACCTTCGCAACGAAAAATGAAGAAAGAAAATTTCTAAAGATGAATCCGATAATCGACAAACACTTTGAATAATTATTTATTTACCATGACTTCGACGTGATTAGTCAGATAACCGACCGTATTGTCCGTCAACGAGTGCTCTTCGTTGGGCAGCGACTGGAAGACGATGGCTGTCGTCTCTGTAAGGCCGTATACCGTCTGCCGAGCATCAAGAATCGCGTAATTCGTTAGTCCAAACGACAGAACATGGTGGACAGCAATTCTCGCCGCACCAACAATCTCGGAACCCGATTTCGCGAAAGAGAACGTTATTGATCGAGGCCAAGAAACGATATTTCTCCTCGCGGAATCGTATTTATGCATACGAACCGAGGAGTTGCCTGTGCAAGATATGTGCATAGATAACGCGGGAACGCGACGCGTTATGTCGAGCCGAATTAAGTACGATCCCGTCGCCGTGTCGACGACCTTCGTATAGATCTCCGCAGTCCATGAAAGTCCGCATGAATTTCGAAAATTGCAGTCACCGAGATAAATCCCGCTGACGATCGTTGTAATGGAGACGGCGCAAATTACACGGCTTAATTTTTCTAAGCGAATTGTACAACTGCGACACAGCGAACACGATTACCTTGACATAACAGGCGTGCCTGTACATGCTCGTTGAAACGATTCTAAGGAGAACGAAGTGTTAATTAAAATTATAAGGGAATTCCAAATTTTTACCTTTACGTTGTCGAAATTGAAGTACTCCCTTATACTTCTGAACAGCTTCGGCGATGCGGGAGAACCACCGGTGATGCCATGGGCTAAAGTTATCGGTGGAGGTTGAAGTCGTTGGCACGCATCCAACAGATTGATCTGTCGTGATATTAAGCACTGATAATTATTTACGCGTTTATTACGTTTATCGCGATACTTTCGAGTCATCATCGTTACCTTACCCACATCGTTGGTGTTCCATAAACGGTGTTGCAGCCCTCCCGTAGTATCGCATCCACCGACTTCACGGGGTTGAACGTGCGGGAGGGTAGCACCATAGTGATACCCCCGTGAAGCATGCAGAGCAATCCTTTAATGGTGCCGAATGCGTGAAAGAATGGCACATTTAAGCAAACCCTCTGTCCAACGGTGAACCCTGATCTTACGATAGCCTAGATTAAATCTCAAACACGTGAAATAAAACCTCGCTATACTGGGGGAATTCGCCATCGTCGGACTGGCTGTGGACATTACCTGTTTCGAGTTATTCAATATGGAGAACTGCGATAAGAGCGTGGCTTTCGGTCTGCCAGTGGTCCCAGAGGTGAACTGTATGTTGGTACCGCTGTTGCAGGATATTCGGTCCTGTTCCTTCGCGATCCGTTCCACCTCGGTCCTGGACGCGAGCTCCTCCACGTCGCTGAATCGACGAGTCCCACTGCAACAAATCGAATACACGTTAGTCGATCGACGAACTGATCGTGTCAAGGTGACGATCTTCGACAGAAAAGGAATCGATGCGAAACGGTCTACACGTGTTGCAATACACTCTGATGCAGGTATGGGTTTCTAGGGTTGAACCCGTATAGCTCGTGGCGTAATGCCAACGTTGTAACACGTTTTACGCAGGTTCAGGATTTCAACGCCAACGCGAATGTCAACAGGAATAGAGCATATCGGTTATAAAATCGATTGCATAGGAGATGAAAGACCAAAGGGAAACGGAGAAAGGAAATGCTCTAATTCTGCATTGTTAGAGCTAATGCGACATCGAGGATATGGCATGCGGTTAAGGCATTCGATTAAGGCAGTGTCGGAGGTTCCACTAGTGCAATTTCACGCCAGTTATCGAGTAATTCTTGAGAGCAAACATTCGCTATCGGTACCACGTCTCGCCTGTCGAAAGGCGCAACGGTATCGAGCCTTGTCCATCAACCAGAACGGTATACCGATTCTTGTATCGATGCAAGCCGCGTTCGATACCGATACGTCGATACAAATCTACACGCATTTGGAACTACACGGCGAGAGCTGCAAGTCAATGGATTTATCGCAACAACGTTTCAACGCGCGTTGACGGCTTCACTGTCTATAGAGCAGCGGCTGACCATTAACCTAATTGCACGTCGGTGATTCCTTTTCACGGATAGAGATTATTAATCAAATCGAGCCGATGATCGAGCAAAAGTTTGAAAATTACGAGACACGGCTGGGAATAGATCGACCGAACGAGGTCGGTGCTAAACGATCAATCGGTCTGCCAGCCGGTACAGCTAGCCTGATTGTGGCCTGAAATCACAGGACGGAGGGACCCGGGCTCGCGCTTTTAGGAAATTACCAAGCGTTTCGGCTAATTTGCTTCCGTTCATTCCGCCGGATCATTACCGATTTGCGGTTCATTCGACGTTCCATCCAATGTCGCGTCTGTGGTGTCCGATTCGGATGAACGAAAACGAAAGGAACGAGCGTGTCGCGTGGCCTACGCGAATCCTTTACGGTCGCGGCAGTAAACGCCACCTGACCCACCGATTAACCCGACGTCTAAGTCGAGAAACAGGCTGTGCGTCGATCGTTGCCGCGTTTTACTCGCACGCGATATTCATGAATCAAGAGATCCCGCGAGCAGCCAGCGCGAGAACAGGTTCAAACTTTGCAGGCAGACATGTCCACCGTCTCCAGAGGCCCGATACGACCGCGTTTCCTAAGGACCAAGGATTTACGTGTACTTCGTCGCTGACCTGTCCCTTTATCGACCCGACGTTACCGCCGGATACCAAGAGTTATCGCGCCTTGTCCGTTCCTGTGCTTAAATTAGACGAAATTCCAAGGAAACTTGGATATATCATTCGCGAAAGATAGAGTCACACGAGCGGCGTCCTAAGCGACAGCAGTCGTTTCGTATTTCGCATCTAGGATTTGCAGGCAACTATGCTAGACGTTGATCGAACATTTCCTTACGTCACGTGATCCTTCGAATAGATAATTATGTGTTCCAAACTGGGGCACGTTTGCTGAGCTTCAAGTAGCATGCGTGGATAGTCCTGCGTTTTTAAATTCTCGGGTGATATCACAGCCTTTACGACGACCTTTTGCAAACAGTAGGTGAGCTCCTCCATTTGATAGCTGGGATTGATCGCGACCAGGATAAAACCCGCCCTCACGGCGGACATGAAGGTGATCACCCATTCCACGTCGTTGGGACCCCATATACCCAATCGGTCGCCGTGTTTCAGGCCCAGTTTCGTTAAGCCAGCTGCTAAACGATCGGCACGACGAATAAGCTCCGAGAATGTCAATCGTACATCCTGATGAAGGGACACCACGCACTCTCGGTCAGGCCACCTCTCTGCCGCCGTTCCTAGTAAGTTTCCGATAGTCTCGTGCATCAAGGGCACCTCTCCGTCACTCGACATGTAAGCCGCGTTTTTTTCGTATTTTTGCTTCTCTTCGTGACACAGGCGACATCGTTGGCTCAAAACGCCGTGACATCTCCAGCCTCGTCGACGTGCTAGACAGAGTATTAGAGAAACTCGCTTTTAATAACTCTTAACGAACTTGCTCGCCTTAATGTTCGAACACCTTCACAATTTTCACCTGGTATTATACTCGTATTTCGATTAAATATTTATGTAGAAACGAAAAGTCAATGGAGAAAATCGAATTACGATATATAAAGACCATCAGTACGAAGAACTTGAATTTGGTGCAAATTATTGGTTGAAATATTTAAAAAATTATCATGCGAAGACAATGGCTAATCTATATGTCCTATTAATATTTATACACTTTGTAAATTTGCGTTTCATTAGTATCGTAACAGATATTTTTGCAGACTCTTGAATAATGTAACGCATAAAGATAAAATACATTACATAATATTATTTTCCACTAATAATTTCATAGCTAAAGTGTGGTACTATGCGATATGATAAGGAAAGGTAATAAAAAGATAACTACATTCAGTTCTCTACTACATTCAGAAAAATATTTACAATTATCTGTCATTCGCAAGACTCGTTTATCTGCTTTCTATACCTATGTTATCATTTTCAATTGATTCCAATTGATTTCTTTGCTAGATATTGCTTGCTAATCCTAAGTTCGTAATACTACCGTATCATTTGTTAACACTGAAGAATTGTATATTGTTGTAAATATATTACACACGCGCTATCTTCTTGCCCGGAAGTGCACATATCGTAATTCAATTTCCCTTGTCGACTGTTTCTTCCTGCGCAAGTATTTAATCGAAATATGGAATATGCGAGCGAAATGTATAAAATTTTCCGAACATCAACACAAGTATGTGTCTTTTCCAGTTACATAATCGTCACGCGTATCCACTTACTCACCAGATGACAAGTTTTCCGATATTGCGATAGAAAAATTTCTATGGTATACTCGAAAAATAGCGACTCGAATCGAGGACAAATTCTTGATTATTCTATAACGAAACATTTCCTTCGAATGACGAATTACACGAATCTCACGACCAAGAACACGGTACCTTTCTCGATGAAACACGAACGACACAGTCGGAACGGAGCAATGACACAACGATTCGCAACGATCTTCTAATTCTGGTTATCACGAATGTCACGTATATTGTGATTATTGGTGTTCTCACGGTCTAATATTTATTATTTCCGTATAGTCAAGTGCTCGCTACCCATAATTACACTTGTACACGATGTTAAACAGACAGTCGAAGTCCAGCTATCGATAATCTTTACACTTCGACAATACGATCGTTTGACCTCTGATATGCTACTGACACTTCGTTTTATACAGATAGACGTGGACGCCTTGCGTAATACAACGAAGCAACTCCAATGAATTAAATACCTCTGCATAAAGAAGGCAGGACTGGATAGCCAAGCGTGGTCACCCCACTCTACAGCGAAGAGATAAATACAATGTTATTCGTAATCTCGCGATACGTTAATTTGTACCAGGCGGCAGGGTCAACTCGCAACTGACAGAAAGAACGCAAAAACGAGGCTACATTACCGACGACTCTTTTGAAACATAGTACAAGCATTTCCGCCGAAACATTGGAATGCAAATACCAAAGAAGGAAAAGAGAAGGTAGCCGAAGAAAAAAGAATGATAGGTAGGAAAAGTAAATCGTTCGGAGCAAAAGGGGTAGAACGGTTACAGTCTAAGACCAGAGGACTCCAGATAGGTGGATGGCGTGCCTGCTGGCCTGTGCCGGAAGTCGCGTGTCGACGTCGACCATGCCACCACCGTACCACCTTCTGCTCCCCACCCCTGGAGGTAGCTTTCGCGGCTCCACCGAACCACCACCGCCACTGCTACCACCGCCGAGTTCGCCATCGGTTTACTGCATTTTCTTAACATTCAACGTAGCGAGGGCTACCCGGTAGCCAGCGGGTGAGCCGGTTAGACGAGGCAACACGCATCCGTGTAACCGGCCGAATCGAGTTGCTCGTTGGTGTGTATACGGTTACCCTGTAGATTCGCGCACAACCGTGACAGTGATTGGTCGATCCTGCTCGAGCAGCGAGAGAGTCGAGAGAAGGCAACCCTTCGCGGGTTTACCCTACGAAACGTCTTCAGAATCGTCAGGATAAACGCGGTGTTAGCACGCGTTCCACCGAGTCGCTCGAAGACCAATGGCACGATAGAGTTCTTCTCTCCTCGTCGTTGATACTCTGAAAGTATTTAAACAGATTAAACAGTAGCGGTAGATTCGTAACGGTTTAGAAACGCGGCCGATCGAAAGCAACGACAGGGAAAATGTGATAACGTGGCAAACGAATCGGTTGTTCGCGAAACATGTCGGGGCTCTGCGATGAGAGACCCACGTACGGAGTACCATGAGCAGTAACAGTAAGAAGACGTCGGGTGGGAAGGACGAAAAGAAGACTCCCTCCAGCAAAGAAGAAAGCCCGGTGACTGGGAAGGATGAGTCCGGAGGATCGGCCTCGACGGGAAGCACCAGCGGAGGGACGAGCGCGGATGGAACGCAGCCTGGAAGTAAGCCTGGATCGGCAGGAGCCACCAGCAGGGAAGCCGCACAAAAGCTCCTCGGGCTTGCCGCGCGTGGAGAATGGGCACCGGTGGACCAGCTGCTCAAATCTTTGGAGAAGGCGGTGCAAAGTGTCGGAGAGGATGGTCCTCTTGCTCCTCTTGCCGGTGTCATGGACCCGGTTAGTCTGGAAAGAAGATTGACTAATTAGCTAATTGGAGAAACTGTTTGTGGCACTCTAACTTAATCATTGCACGATGAATTTGTTTCTGATCACAGGCGACGGGCATGACACCTCTGATGTACGCGGTGAAGGATAATCGCACGGGATTGCTCGATCGAATGATCGAGCTGGGGGCGGACGTGGGCGCCAGAAACAACGCAAGTATTTCGAGAAACACCTCGGTGACATAGTCTACCGTGGTTTCGTGGATAATGCATGAATGGTAGATTCGAAGAATTTTTCGTCGATCCCTCGTGGTCCCGCCTCGCGATTTCTTCGAAAAAGCGATGTACGTTTTCGTGCGAAGTACGATCCTAGCCGTGGCGATATCGGCTTTTGGATAAGTTCGTGGCGACGTTGCGTGGCGCTGACATATAATATTCGAGCACCTGCGTGGTCATAACCAGTGCAGACCATGGAACGTATATAGTTAACGATCTCCTTGTAATCCGTGTTAAGCTAAGGTGGGTAAGATCGCGTGAAGGAGGGCCAAGGCCAAGGGGTTTACCGACGAGGTTAGAAAGTAAGCAAGGAAGTAGGCCGACGAGTCAGTAGGACGAAAAAGTAGTTCGATTCCAGGTGCTGATTAGGCGACTTCTAAATTCTATTGGCGCGTTTCTTCGTGGCCTTCATGCTCACGCGGCGACGCCTACGCTTGACCAATCCTAAAAACCCCTGACAGACTAAGACCCTAGTGGCCAATTGTGACGTGGCCCGTGGGCATTCCCGTGATTACGCAAGCTCCGAGAACTTGCAAGAATTTTGCAAAAAAGCTGGACGCGCCCCTTCATTAGGTCTGACTAATAGCTAATCGCAAGCATCGGGGTTTCTAGCCCCACCCAACGCGTCGGTTCGACGTCATTTTAAAATCGTTCGACGATAAGCCATTCGTTTTATTCTGGGCGCGGCAAAACGCGATTTATAACCCGGTTTCCATACTAGCCACTTGACCCAGCGAATCTTGCTGGATTCCGCGATTTATTTTCACCGTCCGTAGCTAGCCAAAGCTATTCCGTTCGATCGAGCGGAAGTAACTATGGCAGAAAGATGAAAGTCCTGCATAGATCATCCGTTGAAAAAGTCCGTAGCGTTAACAAAATTCACCTTGCTCTTTCATAGGATAATTACAATGCTCTTCACATCGCGGCAATGTACTCGAGGGAGGACGTCGTCAAGTTACTCTTGTCGAAACGAGGCGTCGATCCTTATGCCACTGGGGGAGTACGAATTTTTCTTTCTTCCTTTCTTTCTTTCTTTCTTTCTTTCTTTCCAGCCTTTTAACCGATTAAAGTACGCCATGTCTTTTTCATCCTTCGAGTACAGCCCAGGCAACAAACTGCTGTGCATTTGGTCGCGTCCAGACAAACAGGCACCGCGACTTCGATTCTACGAGCGTTGCTGGCCGCCGCCGGTCGAGACATCAGGTTGAAAGTTGATGGGGTAAGTAGTACGTCGAACAGATCTAAATCGTAATCGAACCTTTAATTACTTATCGTTTGCAACGCGAGCATATTTCTTTTATCAAACCTTAATCGAATTAATAGTTTTTCTGCGATTTCTATCGCCCATTGCTCCCGATTCTCGTCCAGGTTTCTCGCGTGACGCGAATGATGGCGCAGGACTATCGCAGCCTGGTACCGAACAGCTGTCATAATTCTCCGCTAGCTCGTTTCTTCGTCGTCGTCTTCTTCTTCCTCTTCTTTTTCTACCACCCTCCTGCACATTTCCATCTATTTTCCCTTCTTACTCGCACGCACACTCGCCAGCTTCCTAATGTTCCTACGTTCTTTGTCTCATAAACGAGCAAGATTATGCGATTCCGAGAGAAACCGCTCGCCAACATCGATATTTACGTCTACATACGAATGTGGCTATTTATGGAAATCGCAGGACGAATTCGTTTTTCTTCCTCCATGAAAATCGATCCGGCTAGTCGACTGATGTCTCTAGATATCGGGACGAAAATTCGCTGTATTCGGTAGGAAATTGCTGCGGGTGCAACGTTGTTGCATTCCATAATGTGTTGCAGAAAGGAAAAATACCTTTACTGTTGGCGGTGGAAGCTGGAAACCAATCGATGTGCAGGGAACTGTTAGCTCAACAGGCACCGGATCAGCTTCGTACCACCACTCCAACAGGGGACTCGGCTCTTCATCTGGCAGCTAGAAGAAGAGACATCGATATGGTGCGGATATTGGTAGATTACGGAACGGTCGTCGATATGCAAAATGTACGATAAAATTTCGTAATTCCGAAGCTCAGATTAGCTCGCTTATAGCAAATAGTATAATACCTATCGGTGTATAACTTTTTCCGAATATTGCAGGGCGATGGACAAACCGCGTTGCATATAGCGAGCGCCGAGGGCGACGAGACCCTCGTCAAGTACTTTTACGGTGTCAGGGCATCGGCCTCCATCACCGATCATCAGGATCGCACCCCTATGCACTTGGCGGCGGAGAACGGACACGCTTCTATTATTGAATTGCTGGCCGACAAATTCAAAGCCAGCATATTCGAAAGGACGAAGGATGGCTCGACGCTGATGCACATAGCGTCGTTGAACGGCCACTCGGAATGTGCGACGATGCTTTTCAAGAAGGGTGTCTACTTACACATGCCGAATAAGCGTGGTGCTAGGTCGATTCACACGGCAGCCAAGTACGGTCATGTCGGTATCATAAGCACTCTCTTGCAGCGAGGGGAAAAGGTATTAGAATGGAGACCGTCGAATCGAATTTTCGTTCGATTAATCATAAGAATGAAGCACGAGTTGGTACCGCGAACGTTCTTTGCCATTCAGGTGGACGCAACCACGAATGACAATTATACAGCTCTACACATAGCCGTGGAGAATGCAAAGCCTGCAGTAGTGGAGACTCTGCTAGGATACGGGGCAGAAGTTCACGTTAGAGGAGGGAAGCTACGGGAAACACCTCTCCACATAGCAGCCAGAGTACCCGATGGTGACAGATGCGCACTGATGCTACTGAAATCCGGTGCAGGGCCGAATTTGACCACCGATGACGGTCAAACACCTGTGCACGTAGCGGCGAGTCACGGGAATTTGGCGACGTTGAGACTCCTTCTGGAGGATGGCGGGGATCCTATGTACAAGTCTAAGGTAGGATCCCTTGATTTCCCATTTGTTTCTTTATCTTCCTAATTCCGCATTAGCACGCTCTTCGACAGAACGGGGAAACGCCGTTACACCTGGCCTGTAGGGGATGTAAGGCCGACGTAGTCCGGCATTTGATCGAATTTGTGAGAGAAAGAAAGGG